CCAGTTCATTTTCGCAATTTGCAAGGCTTGCGAGACTTTCCCCAGCTGTTATCTAATACTAGCAAATTAGAAACAGCGGCTAATGAGCTAACAAAATCTTCGAGAAAATGCATTGGAAAAAAATCTTCATAGCTGAACTGAAGGACCGAGACTTGTTTGAAACTAAGGTTTTTAGGTTGGTAAACGTGTGCTTGAGCAAACCGGTAGCACTTGTCTCCAAGCTAGCGATAAGATGGACGATGGTACAAGAATACAACTAACAGTCAACATCAATGTTGAAAAGGCAAGGACATTCCTAAAGCACTTTTTACCACAGAATTTCAAAAAAACAGTATGCTTACAATCCCTACAGCGGATCGCATAAATGACGATCAGAGCTGGGCATAGTTGGCACCGGGTCAAGTCATATCTTTTTTATGGCCGAAAACACATAAAAATTCCGACATTTTTTAAGGGTATTTTACATCTGGTTTAGGGTCAAAAGGGACTTGGAACATAATTTTTTAAATCGAAAGAGACTTCGTTTTAAATTTCTCTGATGCCAGTCCGTGCCGAGCCCTGATAATGATTGATATAAATTTACAGTATGCTGAAAGTTTAAGAGGCTAACCAGTAGCTAAATAGAAGCTCCAATCTGTTGAGGCCCTAAAATCTTACATATCTACATCGTTTAGTTAATAAAAACTTAAGCGTATCAACAGATTTTCACGTGCTTCAATTCTGACTAAGAGATCTAGTCTAAGTTTTTACTTCACTAAACCAGGTTATATATTCACTTCCCATAACTGATAGGCATTGTAAAGCAAAGTTTACCCGAAAATGGTATCGGGTGGACCCTTTATTTGACGCTCTTTTGGCTAACAACTAATGAGTTTCAGGGCGAAGCTTTGTTTGACTTCACTGGCACTGGTATGGAAGTGATCACCTCATGTAATTGCCCTCGAGCCGTCACTATGTCAGCCATAATCTACTGTCTCAGATGTCTCGTCGCGAAGGATATACCTCTAAATAGCGGATGCCTCACGCCAATTACGGTGCGCTAGCCTGCCCTAATTATCTTGATATCTCAAAAATGAAAGATCAGCGATAGCTGCTCAGATTTCTATACCGGAAGGAACTCTTCTGTCACCTTCCGAGACCGCAGCTGTGGTTGGAGGAAATGTCTTGACTAGTCAAAGGCTCTGCGACGTGATCCTGGGTGCTTTCGAAGCCGTCGCAGCTAGTCAGGGTTGGTCAATCTCTTAATTGCCCCACCCGAAAATTAAAATAGTAAATTATATC